TTTTGCCCGGATGAAGAAATTGTTTTATTCCAACAAGCTGTTAGTTTTAAGATGTCTTTAAACAAAAAACAAGAAGCTTTTAAAAAGGTGTAAATGTCTTTAGATTTATTTTCTCCAATGTTTCATTAACATGTTGTATTTTATCAGTACTGTATGGCTGCGAGCAATACAGAGTGCTACTTATTGGAAGAGTTAGAACATGAATTTAGCAAGTACATGATAAATTAAGAAACCTGCAACTGATACAAAGGACCGTAATCCTTGTCTGCCTGAAGGAGACAAGAAGTTAAATTGTACTATTCGGTGGCATGTCCCTAATCAATAAGCACAACAGTGTAACTGCTGCTTAGCAATTGTGTGACAAAATCATGTGTCAAAAACCGCCTTCCTTGGGAGAGACTGTTTAATTTGGGTGGGGAAGAGAAGAGAAGAAAGCTATGTGTAGGAGAGAGAAAAACCTGAATAAAACAAAGCCAAGACTCTGTCTCAGAATACTAAAATCTCTGTCAACAGTTCCAAGTGGATCTGGAACAAATGAGTCATTTTACTGTAGCAAATATATTTCTAAAATCAATCTGTTTGAAACAGCACATGAGCTCTCATCTCAATCCCTATAAAAATATCTTTAAAAAAACACCACTCAGGTTGTCCAAACTTCGATTGATTGGTATAAAAGAAACGTAACACTGGGTACACCATAGGAAAACCACAAAGTGAACTCATTTCACTTTTTAATTTGTCAGTAAGAAAGAGCTGCACTGTTTTTGGATTGAAAAGTAGCCTTGTAAATGCATGAACATAGTAGCTGCCTGAAACTTATTAAAGCAGCTGCATCTTTCTCCCACATTTGGCTAGCGGCTTCTGATTCCAGGGGAAACTGTGGCTATGTTGAAGGGGTACAGATAGATGTGCTATTTTTGCTCTTGTACTCTAAAGGAAATGCAGAATCAAATTCAACGTGCAACCCTTATGCATGATTTTATAAATAAGTCATGCACATATGCCTCTTGCATGCAATATCCTAAAGTCAATCTATCATTTTTCTAGTTAAAAGAATCCCAATATTTAACCTAAAGGGAAAAATATCTGAAAAACCCTGAAGAACTACTATTAGCTAGATTAGACAGTACTTTGAGATATGAATTGTATTATTGTTGTTTTGATTCAGTACAAGGATACATACAGTATATTCATGTTGTTCAACATTACTTTTTTCCTTCCCTGGTCAAGTTTCCTGGGCTCTTTGCTCTGACAATGCTAGTTCTCATTTCACCATAATCTGATTGGCTCTTGTTGAACATGATTGTTGTTCAGTTACACAACGTACTTGGTAGATATAGCATTTTCCCCTCCTCCTTCTTACAGCAGCCCGACACAACAGGTAACATTCGACTTTACAGATTGCAAGTCAAGGCCAATCAATGATCATGGCTTATCAGACCTTTGAATCAAAGTTTTCCAAGATATGGAGGCCAAATTTTCTGATCCATTTTGTTTATCACCACATTATTATTATTTTTTTTGGCAAAACCTAATGAATGTTTCACATTTAATTTTTCCCTAACCCAGACGAAGAATATACAAATGGTGAAAATATAACTTTGCCCATAACATGTTATTGCACAATGCCGGAGTTCCAAGACCAGGATATAAAATTTAATTGGTATTATTATCAGGGTATGACACACAGCTAAGAAACATATGTAAGAATCTGGCTTTCTGTCCACATCAAAATCTTCAAACTGTGTTGACCTGATATGCTTTCCTACTTCCTTATGCTTGAATGGACTAATAATAGCTTTGTGGCATGACAGAGCTGAATGAATGTCATCCTCATCAATATGTCCTAGAGTCATTTTGGTATAGAAAGGTCATTGGCAGAAATGAAACTAATCTACAATTCCTCAGAATTAGACTTTCTAAGAGTAATTGAATTTAAATGTGATTTTTTTTGTGTGATTGGTAGGGCAATGATTACAAAGGAACCACAAATGCATCAGAGATTCATTTTGACTGGAAAATAGGAATATGGGAAGAGGCAGTCATAACTAAGTTTGCTGGGTTTCTTTGGCAAAAACACGCATTCAAATTGATCTGTGACGGATGATGTTATTTTTGTCACGTTCATATCCTGCCTTTCCTCAGGATACTCAAAGTGGTGCTTTTGTGAGTCGCCGTTTTTTTTCTTCATCTTATCACTGTGTGAATTAGATTGAATTAATATTTGATGAGTAAGTCCCATAGTTGGCTAAAGAATTTCCTGATTCTCCTGGACCCAATTCATTTCCGCAAATATTCCTGTAAAATTGACAGGTGTCCTTTTCATTGGTTGCCAAATTAAATCAGTCACAGTCAGTCAGTCAGTCAGCCTGCCTGCCTGCGTGCGTGCCTGCCTGCCTACCTACAGTACCTACCTACCTACCTACCTACCTACCTACCTACCTACCTACCTACCTACCAGCTATCATCTATCAATTCTCCGTCTCTCTCCCCCTACCTCTCTCTTATAGTGTCACCCATTTCACAAAACAGTCACAAAAAGTGACTCTGCCTGTGCCAGAGTCCACCTGAGTGCCTCTCTCTTTAATTCTGAATTAGTTTTCTCCATGTTAAGACATGGGTTTGCTAGTAGTTTCCTTTCCGTGCATCCCATCAGTCATGTTAAGCATTATGATTGGAGAAGAGCATTTCTGTATAACAGGAAGCTATTATTCATTCAGAAAAATACACACGAGCGCAAACATGCTTTGCAGGCCAAGCAGTGGATTACTCAGCTTTCTGCCCTGCAAACACTTATGTTGGTACCAGAATATAAATCCAACGGTTGCGTGTCTATGGCTGTTTACAAGGCAAAGATTGGGACAGTCGACAGAAGAATTTGCTATTTTTCTTTAAAAACAACATTTTCTCATTTATTTTGATAGAAATTTGAAAGGATGTAAACAATCATTGTTCCAGCATCTTAATGTAAACAGTTCATACCTTAGTCTAATTACATAGTGGAAAACTCTTCTATGAAAGATGGCTTTGCAATATATCAGTGGAAAGTTTCCCTTATATCCCAGACTTTCCCTATAAAAGTCATAATCGTCTATGTACGTACTTCTTCCCCACAAAAATCCCATTTCACTCAGTGAGACTTAATGGCCACAAATACTAACTATTTGATACTAACTGGAATGTTACTTTGAGTCCGACAGTAAGACATCCTAGGATAAAAATATGCCACAAATTCATCAGCTGACCTTGGGAAAAATCACATATATTTTTCCTTATCTAAATCTGATTTCAAATGTAAAAATCCTCCAGCATTCATTTCTGCTTTGTTTCTAGGACATACCAAACAAAAAGCTAATATGAAATCACTTTTTATTTTCAATATACTAACTGTTCAGTAGAAAATACCCGTCCTACAGAATATAGAATTAAATACAGATATTTTAAGCACATTACCCAGAAAGAATGGATAGCAATGAAGCATCAAATATATGAACCTTTACATTCCCCTTTTGGATTGTTCTAGTTTTTGCAGCTTCTTAGTTGTTGTTTAAATTTAGTGTATTTGTACTGTATGTTTACTACTACAAGCCATCAAGATCACAAGACTTAACTCTGCAGGCATCGCTGTCCCTGGTCATAGAATTTTGCAGGACCCATCTGTGCAGGCTGCTTTCAAAGGGAGGGGAGGAGAAGAAGTGAAGTGAACTAACGTGAAACATGTTCCACTATTGTTAGAGATCAAACACTGCAGCAAGAAGTGTTATGGCTAGAGGATCTTTAGCAAGGACACAGAAACATCCCAGAAATAATTGGTTCTCTCCGTGGCATGAGCACAGCAGGTGAGTGTATCGGCATAACCTTCCAGGAAAGCAATGGATTGGCCATTTCTCCCAAGAAAATCCTGAGAAAGACATGAGGAACTCTTTGGGAATGGCAGAGGACAAAGGACAAGTCTCAAGCTCAAGATGTACCCCTCCCTCTAACTCTCTGCTTTTCCTCTCCTTTGGCATAAGGAGATTGGAGCAAAATGCCAACTCCCTCTTAGCATTAGCTGCAGTTATGTAAGGCCACAAGGGGAAAAGCAGCCAAGAAAGGCAATAGGTCATCTGACCTCTTGCTGACATGAATGCTGCCGATGCAATAACGCTTGGACTTCTTGGTCCTGCTGAGGATTTGTTTTACACTCCCTCCCCAACTCTCGGGGAGGGAGTGTGCTTACTCTCTGCCTCTCCCAGAAAGTACTATGATTCCATGGACAGCGAGGCCTTGTGTCCCCCTGATGTCCTTCCAGCTTCCTCGGCTCCTGCTGCATTCTCCTGCTGCAGACGTCACCAGCCTCTGCTCAGGTTCCATCTCCGTGGACAGGCTGATGGACCTGAACCAGGAGAGCTGTTTTCAGACCTTGACTTGGCAAGAGCATTGACCCTACTCTCAGCCAGAGAACAGCTGCTAGCCAGGGGATGGACTTGGGAGTCCCAGCAAATGTTTGAGGTGTTTTTAACTCCCAGGGAGAGAGATCTCACAGAGGTGCCAGACTCACTCACTCACTCTGTGTGTGTGTGTGCGCGCGCGCATGCATGCACGCGTGTCTATCTGTCTGTCTCTCCCTCCCTCCTTCCTCTCCCCCCCTCTCTCACACACACCAAACACAAGTTGCTTTTCCCTTGAGCTTTGGGGACTGCTAACAACCTTCCTCCAGAGGATCTTGCAAAGAGAGATGATCTCACAGCTCTACATAAACTCTCTCATTGCTAAACCCCCTTCAACACTGCCCCTCAACCCGCAGGAAAACTTACAAAGGAAAGGGCCCTGGACACAGCCTGTTTGGAGAAACTTTCGGCGGTCCCCACTTCCTTGTCCTGACTCTGAATTCTGACGTGTGCCAGGTAGTGCTTCTCCATACTCAGATGCCTCGGACCCTCCCCAGTTATTTCTCTGGACAGGTCTGGTTTCCTCAACTGACCTGCCTACCTCTGTTGTTCCCCTTAGCAAGACTTTACCTTTTGTTGCCTCCGTGCCATATCGGTGGGCTGCTTGGCATTGAATGGGTAGGCGATGCACCTCATGACGAAGACGTAAAGCTGCAGCTTCTTCTTCCTCTCTTCTTCCTCCTTTTGCAGCCTTTCCAGCTCTTCCTTCTCCTTCTCGCTCACCACCGAGGGGCTCGGGCTGGAAGGCCGGACGCTGCTTCCGCTGCGGCTGCTGGGTTGCAGCCCGCCGCTACTCCCGCCACCGCCGCCCCCAGAGCTCTCGCTGGTCCGGCTGGGGGAGAGCCGAGCCCCCGAGGCGGCTGGAGCCAACACTTCCTTGCTGCTCTCCTCTTCCACGATCTCATCGGATTCTTCCTCACTGGACGACGGGTCCAGCATGTTGACCGCAGACTAGTGCCCGCTCTCGGCGGGTGCGAACGAGACTACCGGGGCAGCGGCACAAAAGCCCGGACGGATTGCTCTGGCGCCCTTCCTTCAACGCCTCCCCGGCTCCTCCTGCCTGCTTTCGCAATCGCAACTAAAGGAGGGAGAAGATCCCCAGCCGATCGAGGGGGGTGGGGGTGGGTGGGAGAAAGGAGCCTTCAACGAAGAGCGGCGGAGGCAGCGGACGGCGGAGAACGCACCGCCGCCGTCTTCCCCAAGCTTACGTGGGTTTATGGCTTTAACTCTTGCCTCCCCAGGCGGGCTCCGCTGCTAGGGAGAGAAAGAGAGCGAGATCAAAGGCTGCTGTCCGCCAGCTTACTCTTCATCCAGGGAGGCCGGTTCGGTCCCTCCAGCTCTCTTTTTCTCTCTTTCTCACTCACTCGCTCACACACACTCTCTCTCTCTTTCTGTGGGGAGAACCGAAGGGGCTCTGCCGCGCCTTATCCTTCCCTCTGGCTCCTTTCCTCCTTACAGCAATTCCTTGCTAAGGGAATAAAGCCGCAGCGCTGAGGAGCTCTCCAAGGTGCTGAGCCGCGAGTCACCAACTGCAGCGGCACCGAGAGCGCTCGGTCAGTGCAGAAGCAGCAGCGGCAGCAATAAGCAGAACGGCCCACCCCTGACTGCGCAAGCTCAGTGCTGCCTCCTCCTCCTCCTTTTCCTACCTCCTCTCCGCCCGCGCGGGCGCCGCACATGACTGTTTGCGAAAATGAAGCCCCCACCCTCGAGAGGTATTTGCCCTTACCTCACCTGCTCCCGCCCGCCCAGCCCCGCCTCGCCATGGCGTGGCGCGGTTTTTTCTTTTCTTTTCTTGCTTTGGCTCTTCCCCTTCTGGCTTAACCTGGAGCGATTTAGCAAAGAAATCGGAGGAGAAGGCGGATAAAGGATGGGTATCTCAATCGGGAGGCTGTTGGGGAGCAGCTCTTGAAATCCTGCAAAAAAAGTGGGGAAGGTAAGGGGACGCCTCTCTCTTTCCCTCGGAACGCGAGATCCCCCGCTTAATGAACTTATTATATGTTTTTTTTAAATCTCGCCTTTATTCCTTTATAAGTAATTCAAAGCAGTGAATATGCACAATACTCCTTCCTTCTCTTCTTCTCCCCCCCCCCCACAACAACCCTGTGATGTGGGTTCAGCCGAGAGAAAGTGGGGGGGAGAGAGAAAGGAAAGAAAGAATGAAAGAGAAAGAGGGAGGGGGGAGGGGAAAGGAAGGAAGGAAAGAAAGAAAAAAGAGAAAGAAAGAAAAAGAAAGAAAGAAAGAAGAAAGAAAGAGAGAGAGAGAAAGAAAGAGAGAAAGAAAGAAAAAGAAAGAAAGAAGAAAGAAAGAGAGAGAGAGAGAGAGAGAGAAAGAAAGAGAGAAAGAAAGAAAGGCTGAAAATATCTTCTGACTTTCATGCCTAACAGTTTCCTGCCTTTCATCACTAAATCAAACTGGCCTCTTAAACTGAATAGTGGGAAAGTTGGGATGAATGAAAACTGAAATTTAGTAAAACTGAAATTTAGGAGGGGACAAATACTAAGGGGGCAGAGAAAGGGGTCATGGTTACTAATCTACAGCCCAACAAACAGCTTTTTGAAACAACAATGCACATTAATTTCAAAGAGTTGATCACAGAGAGAAAAACTTTTGGAGAGCAGCTTTGCTTGTCTTTGCAAATGCCCTCTGATTCTAGCTCTGCTGGTTGAGACCAAAGACTGTAGTATCCGCAGGGGCCAGACTGGGAAGAATTTCACAGCCCCCCACTGTCAATCAGAGACATGAAGCTACCTCTCCTCCCCAGGGATGTCTGCCACTGTAATAATTAGCAGCCTCTTTCACCCTGCACCTGCGTAATCGCCTGTAAGAATAAACTCTTACACTTAAATTTTCTCTAGGGCCTAGGCCAAAAAGTCCCCCAACAAGCCTAGGGCAGATTTAAACAGAGACTGTGAGTTCTAAATGATAGGCTTATTATTTATTTATCTGAACACTTATGTATTGATTTATTTGTATCCCAGTTTTATTATTTTTACAAATAACTCAAGGTGGTAAACATAGGAATAGCACTTAGACTTACATACTTCACAGTCTTTTAGCCTATTGGCCCAACAATTTGGGTCCTCATTTTACCCACCTTGGAAGGATGAAAGGCTGAGTAAACCTTGAGCCAGGAAGAGTCAAACTGCTAAACTACAGGTAGCCAATAGGCAGCAAAAGTAGCCTGCAGTACTGCACTCTAACCACTATGTGATAGGTGGGCTAAGAGAGAGAGAGAGGGAGTGACTGGCCAAAAGTCCCCAGCTCACTTTCATGGCTGAGATGGGACTAGAACTCACAGTCTCCTGGTTGCTAGCCTGGTGCCTTAACTACTAGACCAACTGGCTCTCATGCACTGTCTTCTCTCACATACAACCAAGGAGATGTTTGTGATTTCTAAACTCCATGCTTTGAGATCTATTTCAAATGACACCTGAGATAAATAACAATAGCAATAGCATTTAAACTCATGTACTGCTTTATAGTGCTTTTACAGCCCTCTCTAAACGGTTTACAGAGTCAGCATGTTGCTCCCAACCATCTGGGTCCTCATTTTACTGAGTTTGAGTCAACCTTCAGCAAGTTAGAATTGAGTTCCTGGGAGCGAGTAGTGAGTTAGCCCTGCAATACTGTGTTCTAACCACTGCCACACCATGGCTTCAAAGTAGAATAAATAGAAAAATGATCATTACTTTGCCATAATTACATAATAATGAAATGAAATGGAAGTGGACTACCATGACCTGATGGCAATGCTCCCTGATATAAAGAGCTGGAAAAGGCAATCAGTGGATGAAGCAAAAGTTATTAGGGTAGATATGGTAGAGGTCATTGTTCGGTGATGTCAGTCACCAATGCACTAGAAACAAGCACAACAGGAAATGCCAAAGCCTTAATATTGTAGTTTTATGACGTTTTTGAATTGTAGTTTTATTCTCTGTGAAATCCAAGTTACAGAGATGGAATTGTACACTGCTCAGAGGTGACTAGTGCAGCCTATAAGCCCTGTAAAATAAATAAATAAATAGCAATAGCAGTTAGACTTATATACCGCTTCATAGGGCTTTCAGCCCTCTCTAAGCGGTTTACAGAGTCAGCATATCGCCC